GTGCAGGGGTGGTGGTGATGTGGAGGCGCAAGGGCGCGCGAGAGCGCTGCACAAGCGCGCATGCACATGCACGTTCGCAGACGCGTGCTCGTTGTGCGCAGGGCAAGTGATGCATCCGCACGAGATGTATGCATGTGTGTGCGGGCACGCCCGCAGCCCGTCACTGTCGGCCCGTCCCGCGCCTGTTCTCCCCTGCCGTCTGCATCCCTGCCCACGCACGCACACCAGCTTGCGCGCGTGCGTGCACATACACACACACATGCACACACATACACACACACACACTCACTCACACATGCACAATGCATACGCTGGTATGACCCCAGGTGGCTGCTGAGCGCGAGGACGCCCTCAAGGACCTGGCGGAGTTCCAGCTGGCGGCGGTGAGATCTGCTGGGATCTGACGGGATGGTTTGCCGCAGCATGGGATGTTACTATAATGTGTGGCAGGGACCGGGGACCGTTTCGTGTCACGGAGGAGGTGACGGCGGCACAAGGCGTAAATGATTCGAGGGAGCATGGGAGAGGAAGGGGGGGATGGGCGGGGGTGCGCGTCTGTGCGGCATGCGCCCGGGGGCGCGCACCGCGCATGGGCGGGCCGGGCTCGCCGCGAGCGCGCGCTCGGCTGTCCATCCCCCCGCCGGCGCGCCCCGTCGGGCTGCCGCACCCCTTCACGGGCCCCTGGGTCGCGCCCCGCCTCTCAAGTCGCCACACTCCAGCGCTCCGCTGCGCCGTCACCCCTGCGCTCCACTTCCCCCTCCCAAAACCCACCCACCGCCAGACGCTGTACAACGCGATGCTCGAGAACAACTGCAGCGAGCACGCGTCACGCATGAGCGCCATGGAGAACTCCACCAAGAGCGCCGGGGAGATGCTCACCAAGCTCACGCTCAAGTGCGCGGCCGCGCCGCGCCGCGCCGCGCCAGGGCGCGCCCCCGCACCCGCCCCCTCGGTCCTCATGAATCGCACCTAGCGCCCTCGCCCTGCTGGGGGCGGGGGCCCGACCACAGGGGCGTCGGTTTGAGCGATTTGGATGGCCTTGTGCCCTCGGCGGCCCCGCATGAGTACCAGCCACCACCACTCTTGTCCCGCCGATCCACTCTTGATTGGACCCCGCCGTTGACCCCCCCCTTCCCCAAAGGTACAACCGCGACCGCCAGGCCAACATCACCACGTCCCTGGTGGAGATCATTTCGGGGGCGGCGGCGCTCGTGGACGAGTGAGCGCGCGCCGGGACGGCGCGGCGCGGCGCGGCGTGGCGCGGCGCCGACACGGCTTATCTTGTGTGTTGCTTGGTTGGTGGGGTTGCGGGCGGTTGCCGGCCCGCCGGTGCGGCCACGGGGCGCTCCCCTGGCGCGGCGGCACGTGTAACGGTGTCCAGACGGCGCTTGGCGGGTCGCCTGGATGTTGTCTGGCGCGTCGCGCTGCGCAAGCGGTGCAATGCGGCCCGTGCAGCTGGGGGCGGCGACTGAGGGAGGGTCGGCGGACTGCCTACGCCGGGGTCAGTCCAGGGGACAGGGGACGGTGGGCGTGCGCCACAGCTGTGGCACTTGCGTGTGCGTGTGTGTTCGTGAGGGGAATGACGAAGCTGTGGCCTGCTCTTCCTTCATGTTGGACATGCGCGCTCGCGCGTGACGTGCCCGCTGGGCAAGGGCTGATGCAGACTGGTCATCTTTCCGCTGTGAGCAGGGAATGAACCGTCTTGCCTCATGCCAGGCTTGACATGTGATTGATTTCTGGTAATTGCCTCCAGGAACCAAGTTGGCGTCGGGTATGCTCGACTTCGACAAGTCACTCGGAGCGGAGAAATCCAAGCAAGCGTTGGGCTGATTGCAGCATATGCATCTCGATTCCTGACAGATATTCAGACATCGTTTCGCCGAAAACGCGCACCGGAGAGGGACTCTGTCGCAACATAGTGTCAGTGTATCCAGCACATATCTCGGGTGCTGGCCCCGACCATCAGCGGACCCTCTGGGTCTGCTAATCGTAAGTTATCGTAGTTCAGCCTGCCGGTAGACCCGGCAGCAAGATCGAAGCGGGGGGCGCTCGCGGGCCAAGGGGCACGGCCATGGCATCGTGGTCGGAGAGTGCAGGAGACCAGCGCAGCAGCCCAGGCAGCCTCACGGACTCAGCCACCGCGAGCACACGGGATGGCGCAGCGTCTGCATCGGCAGCGAGCTGCAGTAGCCTGCTTGGCCCCCAAGCGGCGCTCGAGCTGCTGCCCTGCGCGGCGTTGGTGTTCAACACTGAGGGCAACCTCATGGGAGTGAACAGCAAGGCTGCGGACCTGCACAGCAGCGGTGGGTGGCGCGCGCGGACTGATGGTGGCACTGCGCGTCACGAGGTGGCACCTGCCACGGCCGAGTGGACGCCGCGCAGCCGGGGCGTGCCGTCCATGCCTCCCCCGCACCTCGTGCGGACGTGCAAGCCGCGGCGGATGCCCCATGCCAGCGCATCGCCGCCTCGCCCCCGCCGCGCCCGCGGGCGTCGCAGCGGCGCGGGGCGCGAGGCGCGCGCCCGCCGTCTCATGCGCACTTGCATGACGCTCGGCTCGCAGGCCTGTACACCGGCGCCCCGCTGGCGAATTTCACGCGCGGCGCGGAGCTGCGGGACGGGCGGAAGCTGGGCTGCGACGAGGTCTTCCGGACCATCCTGGACTCGCTCTCGCTGCAGTGAGCCTGGGGCCTGAAAAAGCAGCGCCGGGGGCTATGCACTGCCAGGAGACGCGAAGCAGCGGCGGCGCCGGCCGCCTCGCATGAGCCGCGCCCGCGCGGCGCCCGGCCCCGCGGCGGCTGCGCAATGCAGCGTGCTGAGCAACTCGGTTGACGAGCAGCTGCCTTGGGCGACGGGCGGCCGGGCGGCGCGCCGCGGCAGCGCCGCGGCAGTGCATCGCGGAAGGCATGCCGTCCACTGCGGCGCGCCAACACCTTGGGCACCCGCCGCCGAGCGCGGCAGCGCGTTGGCATGCAGCGCCCTGCTGCGTGCAGCATTCGGCCCCGGCTGCCCCCACTTGTCGCCATCATCCACGCCCCCGTGCCGCTGCCCTGCGCCCGCCTCCCCAGGTTCCAGCAGCATGTGAACGGGCGCGGCCCGCAGCGGTGGTTGCTGTCTCAGGCCAGCCTGCTGCCACACCCGGTGACGGGGCAGCCGTGCATCGTGCTCGTCCAAGTTGACGTGTCTGAGGCGAAGCAGGTGCGTCTATGTGTGCGTGTTTGTGTGTGTGTGTGTAAGTGTGTGTGTGTGTGCGTGTGTGTTTCGTGTGTGTGTTTGTGTGTGCGTGTGTGCTAAGGGGGGAGGCATAGGGAGGGGCGCCGCGACGGACGGTGGTCGCATGGTCACGGTTGCTGCCTGGAGCCATCCCACAGAGTGGGTCCCGGTGCATTCCACCTGCGGCTGCAGTAAAGGAGTCCTCATGCGTCATCGCGCCGTCTGTGCGACGCACGTTCGCGAACACACACGCGCTTACGCGCACACGCGCACACACACGTGCGCAGATGTGCGACGTGCACGCGGCCACGGAGGAGCGCATGCGCGAGCGCATGCAGGCGCTCCAGCGGAAGCTCGTGCGCGCGGTCACAGAGGCGGAGGCGCTACGGCACGTGGTCGACCGCCTGCAGGCGCAGGTCCTGGGGTTGAGGCGGCAGATGCAGGTGGGCGGCGGGTATGGGCACGAGCACGCGCGCCAGCACGAGCGCGGGCGCCGCGCGGCGGCGGCGGCTGGCCGGGCCGTTGACTGTTGTAAGCGGTGGGGGAACTGCGGGGCGTTTCGCACGCTGCGCAGCGCGAGCCGCTGGCGCTGGTCGTGCCCCGCCTTGCGCCCAGCTGAGCGCTCGTGCCCAGGCCCCCCTGCTTCCAAACGACACCCTCTGCAGGCCGCCGGCCTCACTCCCGACCTTCCACTGGATGAGTCGATCCTGCGGCCTTCGCCGCATCAGGTACCCAGAACAACCCCCACTCCGTCTGTGATTGCGCCGGCAAAATGCCCCACAGTCTCGCATCCCCGGCGCCCCTCGCCCTTCCGCGCTGCCCTGCCACGCAAAGAGCTCAGCACACCTCCCCATGTCTGCCTTGGCACCCACCCCCCTCCCACGTCTGGCCCCAATCATGTGAACCCAGGACGTCTATGCTGCGATGCTGACGAGCATCCAGGACTCGCACCCTCTGCTGCGAGACCCTCTGCTATCCCCCGACGCCTCATCTTTGACCGCCGGCGCCGCCGCCACGGGCGGCGCCGGCGGCGAGAGCAGCGGCCTCAGCGGCGCCGCGTCTGCGCGCGCGGCGGCGGCGGCGGCGGCGGCGGCGGGCGGCTCGGGGGCGGGGTCGCGGCCGGGGGACGGGGAGGCGATTGGCGACATGGGCGCCGGCGGCATTCAGCGGCAGGCGCAGCTGGTGGG